TGAAAATTTCAGGTTTTTCGCCTCTGAAAGTTAGGCAAGTGATATCTGCGGTTACTCAAGACACATTGTCAACTGTTTTACACATATTTGCATCCGTTCCGACCGATATGGTTCCCAAAAAACACTTGAAATTGCTTCTTTACGCGCTTTTGGAGATTTGCCCCTGTTAGGTAGGCAACCCCCCGTTTTCCGGTTCCAGTCACGGGGTAGAGTTGGGCAACACTTCTTAAAAGTGACCTCTAGGTACCTAATAACTACCCCTAAGACGGTTTTGCTCTACATCGAAATGCAAGGTTGGTCCCATATTTGGGCCTTAACAGGCGTACTATAAAGCGGGCTTATGCAATCGCTGTCGTGTCCGTCTGTCTGTCTGTCTGTCGTCCGTGCAAGAGGAAGGAGATGAGCTAGAGGTCTCCAAATTTCAGTGTATCCCAGGGGTCACTCCTGGACAACGAAACGCCTGGTGCAAATCCTGGTAACCACCTCTAAGGGGGTGAAAGGGGTTAACAAAGAAATATAGGTTGGTCCAATATGGAGGATTTCTTTAATTTTTTTTCTCTATCATCTTCTAAGGGGTAACTCGTGAGAGTAGAGGCCTTCGGTTGAAAATTTTGTCCGTTTGACTCTATCTTGCACTGTTTGGGCGCTAGAATGCTTTTTTCGACAAAAATACGTCGAAAATGACCATGTTGCACATACAGACGTACAAGGAGGCGTTCAATCGCAAAATGTCAGAGGAACTACCCCCCCCAAAACGACACATACTGAATCAGTAACTATCCTCGGATTTGCCGTATCTTTCACTGTTTCGGCCCCAGAGATGGATATATTGAAAACAATGCCAAAAAGTCAGGTTTTAGGACTGTTTGACAAACAATATACAATCTACAAACTGCGCGGGTAATTTTTTAAAAAAATTCTTAAGCAAATAAGCAGAAAGGTGGGCTGTAGTCACGGTTTTGCCCCGTTACAGTCTCTTGTCATGTCCAAGGAGCAAATTTCTAGGGCCGCAGGCCCCCCGCCGGACGCTTTAGATTACTCAAATATGCAAGGTGATTTACCGGTCACATTATGTATTTGATTATGCACTTCGGTAAATCGCGAGACTGAAATGGTCAGGCCGAAGGCCCGATCATCGCCGCCGGCAGGCCAAGCAGGCCTGGCCCCTGCCGAACGGAGGTGCCGGCGCAGCGAAGTGGAGCTGGCAACTCCGTTTGGCGGAAGGGCGGGCCTGCTTGTTTTCGTTTCCTACCCCGTGTTTACCGGGACACCAACACTCCACCTTCCATGCCAGCAAGGTAAATTTCGACGCTCGTACTCATATAGTACAAATATATTTCGTGAAATCAAATAAAATTTTGCTACGGAAAATAGAAAAGAATTGCGATGTCTCCGAATCCTTCATATTTTTCCCGATAGAAAAGTGAGCAATAAATTTTCAGCAACATCATGTTGCCTCCCTGTTGAGGGGTCGCTCTCGGCCTCACCCACCGGGTTCGGTGTCGCCTACTAAGGCTTTGAGACTAAGATAGAGGTACTTCTTTTTAAAGGAGCTCAGCCAATAATAACTTACGGTTCATATTTCATCGACCGCGTATTGTTATTACGGATATACAAGGTGTGGACTCTTATAATTTACCCCGGTGTCGAGGTGAGTAGAGTATTTCCAGAGAATAGTCAGGCCACCAGAGACGCTGCGCCCCGAGGTCGTCTGAAGGGTGATTTTAATCCGTCGAAATCGAACAAACGGCTGTTTTTTGTAACTGGAACATGGAAAATATCGAATCTCCAAGGCAAAACGTTGTGTTTAGACAACTCGATCGTTCCGAATGATCAGCCCGGGTAGAGCGTCCCTGGGAGATCGAATGACGATGGGCCGTCCCTTGGGAGATTGGACGCCCTTATTAGGACCCGTCGGTATGAATTTCGATAAAATTGCTTTCAAACCTACGATGCAAGTGTGGTTTTCTAAAAATTAAAATCATGTTTGTCAATGTAACAGAAATAATGAAACATATGTGGGATTTTCCCTTTCTTACATCATGTTAAAATTGTAATGTACGAATAGGTGGTTTAGCAAACCATTCGTTTCCCCTGTGGAATTTTTGTGCAGTGACGTCACTAAACCATTCTGCACTGTGTTTTAGTATCTTACCCGGTAGAAGGAAAGCCGCAAAGCTGGGGGCGGCCGCCGGCCTGCCGCTCGCGGATGGCGCCGGCACATTTGATGAGCAGCTCGCACCGTCCGGGCCGCAGCAGCACGCCGTGGAAGCACGACTGGGCAATCGGCAGCCCTGCTAACGAGTTCGTAGGACCGAACGCAGATGTCGAAACCGTAGAGCGTTAGTTACCAGTAACTTCACGAAGTGGAAAGTTAAATTTAAAAAATCGAAGCAGAAGAGCGGAAATGGTTTCAATTCGTTACACTCCGCAGGAGAAAAATTATGTTATGGACTTATAAGACTTTTGATGTTTTGAACAACGGTTTAAAATGGTCACTTCTCACACATCGAAACGATGTCATATTTCACGGGGGACGAACCTCGAGGAGCGCAGGAGCAGTAGGCTAGCAGTGCCGCGATCACTGATGACGCTGTCCACGCGCCGAACTGCCGCGCCGACGTCCACATCCTGCTCCATGGACTGATTGCCGCTGACTAAAGAGCGGAGTTCCCCGGCGCCCAACACGCTGCTGCGATTTTTTTTTCTCCTGGACTCACTCCCATAGGAGGCCGTGTGCCGTGTGCTTTTGTTGTTTGGTAAGAGGGAAGGGAGCTGTGTGTGTGTGTGGGGGGGGGGGGGACTAGTCATAAAGAGGAATGACCACTAACTGCAGTGACGAACGTAGTGGAATGCAGGTGGAAGAGCTGCGGCAATAGTGACCGGTCGATTGAACAATGCTCATTAATTACTGCCTCCTTCAAAATTTTTTTTTTTTAGAAGTTCTTCAGAATTTGCTCATTGCGGAATTTTATGCTGATGCCGCGTTACAATGTCTGGACACGACCTTGACGGTGAAGCTCCGCGCGTGATTGAGAGGATGACTAAGAGGTTCCTCAGCACTCGCTGGCGGTCAAAGTGCTTCCGGCCATAGCCGGCGATAGGGATAGAAGCCAAAGGGGATTTGGGAATGGGGAGGGGAGGACGCAAAACCCATCTGTGCTATTTTGCCTGAAGGGTCACTGTTATCTTATTATGTTGTGAATATGTAGTTTAATTTGTTTTGTCATAACAACTAATGGCCGTTATAATTAAATGAAAGTGCCACCAAATTTAATGGCAATCTCATCACATATTAATAAATAGCAGGTGGCTGATTAACCCCCCCCCCTTCCCCAGGGCGTTTCACTTTAACAAAAAACGTTAACAGTTCTTGTTAACCATAAACGGACCCGTAGTTCAGAAAAATTTCCTATTCTACAGTTTCGAGCAATATTTTATGAAAAAAAGAAAGATGACTACAAGGCTGTTTTTGTTTATATATTGTTGCTGTTGTGACGTAGAATTTATGAACATATTACTGCACGTAGGTTTGTGAGAAAATGCGATATAGTATATATAAGAGCTCTGCAGTGGCATCGGATACCTACATGACGTCCGAAAGCGGATTGGAGTGAGAGGGGAGCTATGGCGCCACGCGAGCTTCTCACTCGCACTATCGCTTTCGGACGACCGCTTTCGCATGCCCGCTCGCTGTATTGTTCGTGTCCTTAATGTATCTTTTTGCGTGATATTTTTGTGAATTAGCCTATTAATCATTACTTTTATAATTGAACACAATTTTTGGCGTGGGCGCTGCCCAGCGCGTGGAGCAGACTACCGAGAGTGTTCATTGTTGGGCTGTTACCCAGACGCGGCTCAAAATGCAACAGGTGGTGTTGAACGATCTTCCGCCTCCCCCCCTGCGCCGCGGTGTCAGGTAGAAACGGGTCCGTTTAAAAAAAGAAACTTGGAGGGACGTATTCTAAAAGCAGATGATACAATTTTAAGGATATGTCTGTGTCCAATTTTCTCTCATATTTTGCTGTCATTTGTTTTTGGCTGTTACTTGTTATCTTGCGATTCGGCGCACTAGCAGCATAGCATAGAGGAAGAGCTAGGGGGCGGCGGGCAGGGGTAGAGCGGCTGGCATCCGTGGCTCAGTATTGTTGGGTATTGTTGGGAACGGGAGGCGCGAGAGGTGCCCAACTCCATAAAAATGTGTACACCGGATTACCAAATTGTAAAGATTACCAAGGATTACCAATGATTACCAAAGATTACCAATGAATACTAGGTAGGATTCGCTTGCATTCTAATTCGAAACAATAATTCTTTGTCCCGAGAAAGATGCATTTTTGTGCACATTTTATGGAATTCGTAATTCTTTATCTTGCAAGTTACAAACTTGCATTCTATGATTGGACAAATTATGTTTTTGTCCATGAGAG